CTTGCAGGCCGGAGCTGCGCTCCATGCAGCCCCGTACGCTGCTCGTCAAGGCCGAGAAGCAGGAGCTAGGGGCGGGCTTGGACCTGTCGGTGGGATCTCGGAGGACCACCGAGGCCGGCCCCAGAGCTTCCAGGGCCGCCAAGTTGGATGGCACCGGGAAGGCCCTCGACGGCCGTCGAGGGGAGGAAAAGAAAGCCAAGCTGGAGGCAGAGGAGGCCTCGAGGGATGCGCTGAAAGGTGGCGATGGCAGGAGTCTGCTTGTCGGAGAAGGAGTCATCAAGACCGAGGAACCAGACAGACTCAGGGACGATTGCAGGCTGGGCACGGAAGCTGCGTCCAATGGCCTGGTCCACGGCGGCAAAGATGCTCTCCTGGCCCAGCCACCCAGTGCTTTCGGGCCGCACCAGCAAGACCTCCGGTTCCCTTTGACTCTCCACGCGGTCCCTCCTGGGGCCCGTATCCAATTTCAGGGGCCTCCGCCCTCTGAGCTAATACGCTTGTCCAAGGTCCCCCTGACACCAGTGCCTATTAAAATGCAGTCCTTACTGGAGCCTTCTGTAAAAATTGAAACCAAAGATGTCCCCCTCACCGTGCTTCCCTCAGACGCAGGTATTAGAAGGCAAGGGAATCTGGATTTCACATTGATGTCTATGTTGCCCATAGTAGATACTAGCGATTTAGGAGCCGGAGATTGAAAAATAGAATCATGATACTCATTCTTAGCCTGCAGAGGAGATGTTTCTGATGTATTTGTCCATATACTGCTAAAAAAAAAATCTCCACAAACTTTTTTTTAAAAGAAAACCAATTTTAAGTCTTTGCAAACAGATTTAGATAACAGACACACCAGAATGCTTGTTAGATAATACAAATCCCCTAGCGAATGCATTTCAAATTTCCTGATGTAGTAGCTTCATAGGTTTATGTGTATCAAGAAATAGAACAAAACCAAAGCTTTGGAGGAAATGATAATTGTTTATACTGATTATAGAGGTTACTTTAAAAACGAACAATAACTTCGCTTGGAGAAAATATTTAAATCTAACATTGTGTTCTAAAAGCCAAGGCTTTCTAGAAAGAGTAATAAATACTCAATAATAAGTTAAATTGTTTTTAAAAGAAGTAATATAATATAGTCACTGCAGACAGGGTTTCTCTGTGTAACAGTCTTGGCTGAAACTCACTCTGTAGACCAGGCAGCACCGAACTCTCAGAGATCACCTGCCTCTGTCTTCCAAGTGCTGGTATTAAAGGCATGTGCCACCTCGGCCTGATCCTAAGTAGTACTTTTATGAACTGCATAGGGATAAAATTTAGTGAATGATAGTACTTTTATGAACTGCACGGGGATATAAATTTAGTGAGTTTCCTTTATAGGAATTTTCAGCTGGTACTGTGACTCTCAGGATCACTTGCATTGTTTTTCTCCCAGGGCATGAGACTAGTTGTAATGATTCACCGTGGCAGGAATTTCTTCTTCATAGTGAAAAGCTGTTAGCATAAATATTGTTTGCTTTGAAGGATTCTACAGCCACTTTTGGAAATGACTTCCTTTAAATACTTACATAACTAACATCTATGTGCATAGTTATGAATGAGTTATCGTTCCTGCCCCCTAATGATAGACAAATTTTAGAGGGAAATAAACTACATGTTAATTATTGCTAGAGGTGTTAATGAAGCTCAAAGAAATAAGTAGCCATCCATGTGTCTCTAATGTTACTGAACGGTATCTTCAACAATATTAAACTCTCTAGGGGTCATGTTAAGCTACAGTTAAGAATGCTGAGCTTAGGGACTATACGGAAGTTTGGAATATTGGCAATATTTTGACTGTATTGTAGTGTATGTTTTCAGGTACTGATACGTAAGTATAGATGAAGGTACACTTGAGCTTAAAATCGCATATGTAGCACGTTAACGTAGTCTCTTCATTTTTGTCATATAGGAATACCTGATACTCCCTTCAGTAAGGACAGAAATGGTCATGTGAAGCGACCTATGAATGCATTTATGGTTTGGGCAAGAATCCACCGGCCAGCACTAGCCAAAGCTAACCCAGCCGCCAACAATGCAGAAATCAGTGTCCAGCTTGGGTTAGAGTGGAACAAACTTAGTGAAGAACAAAAGAAACCCTATTATGATGAAGCACAAAAGATTAAAGAAAAGCACAGAGAGGAATTTCCTGGTAATCAATGAAATGAGCCAAGACTCTTTCCATTTCTTTTAAATTTATTTAGGTAAAGATTAAGTTAGGTTGAGATTTCCTAATCTATGTGTGAGAAAGAAAATAATGGCTAGCATTATAATAATGATTGAATTAATACTAAACATACATTTTCTTAAGTAGAACACAGTTGTGAAATATCACATATTTACCAGCTAATACAAATCAGGAGACATATGCTTTTACTGTGGTTTTGATTAAATACATATAGATACATACAAACATACATACACAGCTATAGCTATAAAGCTAACAGTAAATCAACATGGTTCTATTTTGTAGTATACTTGACATATTAAATAATGGCTAAAAGATAATTGAGATGCAGGAATTAATATCCTGTTCCATTTTATGTTAAGTGTTATCAGAACACAGTTTTGTATTTTGATTGGTAGATTTATTCCTATCACGACACAGATTGAATGAGTGATTTGTCCTACTCAGTAAGGGCGTTGCGATAAAGGTTGGGAACTATGCATTCTTTGTGGTTTATATAACTGTGCATAATGGGAAAAGAATTTTTTTTCTGAAATACAAGCAGAAATATTTTAGGAGACAAGATTCTGGATAGAACCAGTGCTTTGTCTATAGGACAGCATCACACTGCTGACTTTGAAGAAAGTTAAGGTGTTTGTGATTTTATTAATTGCCATGTCTCAGAGAGACTTCCTAAACCAGGCGTAAAAATAGTTAGACTGGTTATTTGTGACCATTGCATTACTGAGATTTGTAATTTATAGAATGAAGAAAGAGGAGATAAATAATGTCTTATGGGGTATTTTTCTTTAGTAAAGGAAAGGGTTTGGGGTTCAAACTCAATGACTTCTGTATAGATTCTACCACAGAGTCACTCTGTGTCTCTGAATATAAGGCATTTTGACTTTCCTCTCTATTATTGATTATAAAACTAACAAAATTAGAAGCTTTGTGGATATTGAGACTTGTTCCAGAAATAGCCTCATGGAAATGAAAAATATACTTTTAGATAACCCATTTTTAAAAAACTTTCAAGTGTTCTGTATTTTTAATTTAAAAAGGCCAGACTCTGTGTGTTCCTATTAAAATGTCTCTATCTTTTTCTTTAGGTTGGGTTTATCAGCCTCGTCCAGGGAAGCGAAAACGCTTCCCTCTAAGTGTTTCCAATGTATTTTCTGGTACCACACAGAATATTATCTCTACAAATCCTACAACAATTTATCCTTATCGCTCACCTACCTACTCTGTGGTAATTCCCGGCCTTCAGAACACCATCACTCATCCAGTTGGTGAGTTGGTTCTGTTGTAGATTGTAAATACATCAGAATTTTACCTCTTAAATTGAAATTTGGTTTCCATTAAACCTAGAATTTAGAACAATAGTAAAGGAATAAAATTAAGAAGAGAGAAAATGGCAACATTAAATGAGAGAAGGAGCAATAGCAGATCAATATGGACAACTCTCACCTTTTAATTAACTCAGGATGAGCCCCTAGATTAGTCAGATAACAGAGGAAATGACTCATGCAGTTCAATAGAAAATAGGGATGCGTTTCACATGCAGAATGAAGTAATGCTTTGCTAATGAGGTGTGAGGCATCCTGCCATGGAACTTAAGAAGGATACTGATCTATTGAAGACCATTCTTTTGCTGGTCCAGAAAAGCAGTGGAAGCTATCCATTTTTCCTAAATACCTGTTTGATTCATATTCCTCACAGTCTGGTCTATGGATGGCAGGAATGCTAAATTGATTCTCAAATCTTAACCTCCTTGTACCTCAGTGGCTTGTTCCCCCAGAACTTTTATAACCAACTCTTTAGGAAACTGCAATTCACTCACTAGTGCAGTGGTTTATCTTAAAGCTGCTTTCCCCAGCTTCTGCCTGCCTGGGTTCTCCTAATGATAATGATAACCTATGGGTTAGAGATGGGTCGATCTTGGAAACTGACTTGTTAAAACTATGCATTTCAATATTTTTTAATTAAAGATTTTTATTTTATGTACACGAGTGTTTTGCTTTCATATATGTTAAGTATACACACACTGTGTATAAGGATGTGTGTGTGTGTGTGCACGCGCGTGTGTGCTTGTGCCTGGTGCTGGCAGCAATAAGAAGGTGTCAGATCCCCAGCAAACAACTCTTGCATGTACTGCTTTATTTTTATAGATTGAATTGGTTGTTTAGGTTTTGTCTTTTTCTCTTTTGTTCTTACGTATCTAAAACATAATCTTCATGTAATGATTGAACAGTTCTGGCTATTTTAACAACAGGCTTATATTTTATTCACATACGGATGTTTCTGGTTGGTAAATATATCTTTCAAAAGATAGTTAATGGATGAAGGCTTTTTCTTCTGTAGATCTTGTATCATTAAAATATCATATCATTAAAATGTCATCTCCTAGGGTACTATATTCATATATTTGAACTTGCACAAAGCTGTGAGAACATGAGTACCACATAAGTGCATTCATTACACCAGTGATAGACATTGCTTACATGGTATTGGGTAGGCTGTAGCCATTCCTAAATGCAAGGGAGGCTGGACTTCATAGTCTTGCTGTGTCCTAGAAGAGGAGAAGTCAAATTACTGGCTGGTTTTCTGTGGTTGGCATCTACTACACCGCAACAACTGTTTGAGTCATTAGAGCTCTGATCTTTTTCTCAGTCTTCCATATCACTGACTTATTAAAGGTTATACACTTTTAACCTCCTTATCAACGGGAACATTGACATTTAAAGATACTGTGTTTCTGGATAGTTCTTTGTAACAAAATACAGTAGTTGATATATGTTACTTACTTTTCATTTATTATTAAATGAATGCATTATTATCATTCCAGGTCTCATTTCCATCTCTTCTTGGATGTATTTAGGTAGAAAGAGAATTGGAAAAGATATGCCCCCCTTTCAATGACTGAAATCTGATCAATTGTTCTATAGTGTTCTTGTAGCTTACTTTTTCTGATAACTAAGTGCTTATGCTGGGTATAGGAAAAAGAACTCAACTTTTTGAAGCAGATGGTCAGGTTAATTTCTTGAGTATGGTAATAATTCAAGAAATAAAAAATTGAGAGATTTTATAAGTTTTCCTGGCTGTGTGATTGCAAGTGCTTTAAGTCGTCTTTCAGCAGCACAGCATAGGAATACTGTCAACTTAGGTTGAACTGTTTTCCCTTCAATGAAATGTTAAGTCTTTCTTTAAGGGTTTGCATGGGAGTGTATATATCTGTATGAGCGTATGTGCACTTGTATGTGTGTATGGATGTGTGCCTTTGCATGCCTGTGTACAGAGGCCAGAAGAGGCTGTTGCATCCTTGAAACTAGAGTTACAGGTGCTTGTGGAACCCCAAACTTATTATGAGAATGTTGGGATCTGAACTCTGGTCCTCATGATTGTAAAGCAGGTGCTCTTAATCACGGAGCCATCTCTCCAATTCCTCTTAACTATTTCTAAAGTCAGGTTCGTGGCTAGATCCTGGTAATGCAAATGTGAATGAAAGAACATGGAATGATGATGCATGTCTGTGATCCAGCACTCAGGAGCCTGAGGCCAGTCTGGGCTCACAAGATGAGGACAGTTTCATTTATACCCTTCTGCACTTCGTTGGGTTAGGAACCATATTGAAATGGATGGGTGGGATTCTTTGTTCCTGCTTTGAGGCTTAGAAGGGCATTACCTTCCACTACTGAGAGAAGAAAAGGAGGGAAGTCTTAACCTGGATAAAGTTGAAAGGTCTGCATTTTGGGCCTCTGAGAGACATTTCTGGTTGTTTTGTTTTGACAGGGTTTCTCTGTAGCTTTGGAGCCTCTCTTGGAACCAGCTCTTATAGACCAGGTTGGTCTTGAACTCACAAAGATCTGCCTGCCTCTGCCTCCTGAGTGCTGGGATTAAAGGTGTGCATGCGCCACCACCTCCCATGTAAAAAGGAGCGGTGGGTCGCTTCCCGCCGCCTGCCTCCCAGCTAGCTTTACCCCTGAAATAATTACACGGAAACTGTATTCTTTTAAACACTGCCTGGCCCATTATCTGTAGCCTTTTATTGGCTAACTCTTACATATTGATCTAACCCATTTCTAATAATCTGTGTAGCACCACGAGGTGGTGATTTACCAGGAGGATTCTAACCTGCAGCTGTCTAGGAGAGGAGAGTCATGGTGACTGCCTGCCTCTACTTTTTTTCTCCCACAATTCTGTTCTGTCTACTCCACCCACCTAAGGGCTGGCCTATCAAAAAGGCCAAGGCAGTCTCTTTATTAACCAGTGAAAGTAACAATAGACAGATAACCCTCCTCCATCATTCCCCCTTTTTCTGTTTAAACAAAAAAGAAAGGCTTTCACTTTAACACAGTAAAATTGCATATAACAAAACAGTTATCAAGCAAGAATTACAGTTACAATATTTATATCTACTTTATCTTTTATCATAACTAAGGAAAACTATAACTATAACCATTCTTCAACTCCATCAAAGACTCCAGAAGGATATAATATTACCTAAGTAAACAAGAAATAAGCAACTTCCAAACTCTAGAAATGATAGAGACACATCGCTGCCTGTACAGTCACCCAAAGTTCCTCTGTACCTTTGGGGTATCCATCTTCAACCTACAGGCCCATAGTTTCCAGGAGACTTTTCCATGAAGCAGGAAATTTCAAAGGCAGCTCAGTGTTCTACTGTGTCCTGCAGAATGTCTCGCAGACTCTTTCATGAATCAGGAACCCCGAAAGATCATCTCACCTTTAGGCAAGTTCAACAGTTCTCTCTCTGCGGGTTCTTTGTGTCCAGTTTATGCATCAGTCCAGGCAAGAGCAGTTTCTTGCCCAAATGACTATCCAACTCCATAAGGAGCCTCTTCGATGACCATCTTCCTCTTGAAGTAGATTGGTGCTGCCAGGAGCAGACGTGTCTCATTGTCATGAACAGCCCTAACTTATTAAAACATTAAAATGCCATATTCTGTAGTCTTTGAAAGATATGAAGAATGTCTATCTAACTAAGATATATCTCTATATATCTAGAAAGTCTAACTAACATGACTACAAGCTTGATTATTATTGATGATTATCCATTATCAATCTATATTTCCTAATTATACATTACATTTTTAAAATGAACTACACAATCACAATACCTTAATCAATATCAGAAATATATATACATATAACGAAATTGACCTTAAAATCCATACCAATGCAAGTTATTCATATCTATATCATATCCCCCTTTAAATGTAAAAGAACATTTATAAACAATATTTGGGAATATGGGCATAGTTATTTCTCTCCAAACTTCTCCCTACTGAATAGGGGCGCTGTTAATCAGGTCTTTCATGATAAACTGTGTGCTAGATTCATCTCAGTTGGCAGTTGAATGAAGTAATTTCTTGAGGGTGTTCACAGCAACCTTTCAGGAGGGCGTGGTCTATCATACCATATTGGGATAGAAGCAATTCACAGGGTCTTATCCTCTGTGAAAACAAAAGAAGACCCTCTTTTCCAAAGCATCATATTTTTAGATTCAAATTCTGAAGTCATAATACCCTTATGATATCCATTCTGGTTTAGCGTGGCAGCCCATATAATGAAATGTCTCTCTGTACTTAGCTCCTTCACAGTCAAAAATTTTAAAGAAAACACAATGTACATAATCCAGACTCTCTGTAAATTTTCCATTTTTACATGGCTTATTTTTATTTATTTTAATCTATAACTATCTGTACTCTGTCTCTTTAAAGACTTTATCCTTTTTTTTAAGGCATTAACTTTATTCTCTATATTCTTTTTCTTCTCTCTCCCAAGCCTACGTACAGTCATCCAACATTGTGACCCATTTATAGGTCTTGTATGTCTGAATCTGTCCTATTATGAGGGAAGTCTTAACCTGGATAAAGTTGAAAGGTCTGCATTTTGGGCCTCTGAGAGACATTTCTGGTTGTTTTGTTTTGTTTTGTTTTGGCAGGGTTTCTCTGTAGCTTTGGAGCCTCTCTTGGAACCAGCTCTTATAGACCAGGTTGGTCTTGAACTCACAAAGATCTGCCTGCCTCTGCCTCCTGAGTGCTGGGATTAAAGGTGTGCGTGCGCCACCACCTCCCAGCCTGAGAGACATTTCTAACTGCAGCATCTGTGCTTGGTCTGTGATCTTTTTAACAGACACCTAGCTGAATTGGAATACAATGAATATGAGTATCTTCCGAAGGCTTCTATTTGTATTTTGTCATGAAAACTTAGTTCAGTTTAGACTACATGTGTTGTTTGGATAATAGCATCTCAGACAGCAGTATTGTCTTTTGGGGAGTGGAAAGATAAATCACATGATTGTTTTACTTACCTTTAAGAATTCTACCCTTGCCAATCATGTTCTACCAGTATTCTTTCCAAGTCTGTTACAAATGGCTAATGTATGATAAATTGTATTCTTTTTGGAGATTTTCAGCTATAGTCACTGTGAATGCAGTAAAGTGAAACAGTTTTGATTGTTTAATTTTTTTCAACTAAAAAGTGTCATAGTTTTTAATGTACAGAAGTATGCAAAATGAAAGGAAAATTGTCTGAGCCCACCCTGGCAGGAATCTGTAAGGGGCGCCTGGGAAGGGGCGTGAAGTTAAAGCAAATGGCAGATTGAGAGAAATGGAGATGGAGAACATAGGCTAGACTGGGAGGACTGGAGGTGAATGCCAACCAGCCCCGAGTTTACTTCTCAGCCAGCATATATACTAATTACAGGCAAGCAGAACAAAGAGCAATACCATCAGCTAACCGTCTTCCTACACTGTCCTTTGGTGGAAGCTCAAGTAGGTGCATAATCTCTCACGAGAATTCAGCTAGAAGCAAGCAACTACTAACCACTTAAGGAGCACACACCAGCCCAAATATTAATACACAAATGTGCTATTTCTTCTGGGCAAAAATGTTCTTTGGGCTAATACAGACATTTCTCAAATTTCTTAAGGTTGCAGGCAGAGCAGGCAAGCTTGAACTCAAATGATTTATAAGTCAGAATGGACTTCAGATGGAAACTGAGTCACACATAGGCTCCCACAAAAATTGATCACAGGGTTACCGAAACTTCTACTTATAAGAAAATAAATATATTTCAGATTGATCAAAACCTAAATACTATGAAGTGAACATGTGAATTTTCCTACTACCCATGTATCTTGTCTCCTACTCCTAGATTATTCCTTAATGATAATTGTTGCCAGGAGCCTTATATCAACATTTTAATGTATACGTTATTCTAAATTATCAAGAGTAATGCTGTTCATTTATTTACCTATCCAAGTTGAGGACTTTCCTATTTTGTGCTAGGCAGAAGCTGAGCTTGGGGATGTGGTAGTGAACAAAACAGGTCTCTCTTCTTAGGACGCTCAGAGGCCAGTTGGGGAAGAGAAAAATGTAAATTCACCAGAAAGTAAAGTGACTTCTGAATTGTCAGAATCCTGTGAATAAAGGGGAGAGTGGTTTGATAGGATACCACTACTAGGTGAAGGTAATAGTGAACTCTCCTTCGTTGTTCTAGTTCACCGTGTGGTGGATACCGGTAGTGATCTTAGTAATGGTTAACTTCTGTTATTTTTATTTCTGAAGGTGAAGCCACACCTGCAGTCCAGCGCCCAAGCCCCATCACACTTTTCCAGCCCAGCGTCTCCAGCACTGGCCCGGTGGCCGGTCCGCCTCCAAGTCTGACGCCCCGCCCATCACTCCCTTCTCAGCGCTTCACTGGGCCTCCGCAAACTGACGTTCATAGGCTTCCTTCAGGAACCAGTCGCTCTGTGAAGAGACCCACTCCAGTGTCTCTGGAGAGCACCAGCAGGATTCCAGCTGGTGCAAGTACTGCCCATGCCAGATTTGCAACCTCACCTATCCAGCCTCCCAAGGAATATGCCAGCGTTTCCACATGTCCCCGAAGCACTCCAATTCCCCCAGCTACTCCCATTCCACACTCACACGTCTATCAGCCCCCACCCCTTGGTCATCCAGCCACACTTTTTGGGACACCGCCACGATTCTCGTTTCATCACCCTTACTTCCTACCTGGACCTCATTACTTCCCGTCAAGGTAAACAAACAATTTTCTACCTCTTCCCTAAAAATACCCCTAGTGAAGTATTCCCCCCACCCCGCTTGGTTTTTCAAGACAGGATTTCTCTATGTAGCCCTGGCTATCCTGGAACTTGCTCTGTAGACCAGACTGGCCTTGAACTCAGAGATCCACCTGCCTCTGCCTCCTGAGTGCTGGCATTAAAATCATGCACCACTGCTTGGCATGAGGCATTTCTTCTCTTCTGGGAAAACCTGACTTCCTCAGTCAGGCTTCTGTTCAACTTCAGAGGTTGAGTGAGAACCAAGCAGTACACATAAAGGAATGAAGGGGGCCACATAAGGACCTGGGAGCTAGAGCTAGAGAGAATGCATTGGCGTCCATTGGGGCAGCTGTTTCTCCGCTCCAGCCAGCTCTTTCCATAGAAAATATGGTTTCAGTATTGTAAATGTGCTTTTATAGGATGATCCCTTTATTGGAGCTGTGTTTCACAGACACAAATTGTGTGGTATCTTGTTAAAACATGGCCCCTGACTGCTAACATCTCAGGTACAAGAATAACCTTAGCATGCTTGCAAGTCTGTATTTCTTATAAGTGATGCCAGTTCTGCTTGCTTAAGGACTGATAAGGATGGAAAAGGGAAGATTTTCTAGTCAAGAGAGATGGAATGCCCAGTTAAAAGTTACACTTCCTCTCTGCCCATTTCCAAACCAGAGAACTTCCCATGTAAATTACCAGTAATGAAATTTGTTTTCCTCGGGAAATATCTCGGGAAAGCAAATTGAAACTTCACTTTGCAAATACCCTCAACTACTCTATTGCTGTTAAGTATACAGGCACAGTTAATGTTGTGATTGAAATATTAAAATGTTTGATACCAATCTTTTATTGTTCTATAGATTAACTAATAGAAAGTTAGGCTTTCTTACCATGAATAGGTTTATAGGATTTGTCTATGAATATACAAATTCTCTGATACTTTAAAGAGCATTTTATAAGAAGACTTATGAAAACAAGCACTTAGAATATTGAGTTATATCTCTAATCAGCAATAGTAAATGAAGTGGGTAAATAATAATATTGTACTTCTTGAACTTGAATTTGATTGGATTTAGGAATGCCAAATCAATATATCGAATGTAAATATCAAGATAATATGCTTTTTTAAAAGAGGAAAGTGAGATTTATAATTTCATACTTAAAATCCTTTGTAATTGTTTTCTGACTTTTTGTCCGTGTATATCTGATGATAGGTTTTCCCAGGGAATGAGTTATCTCAATTATGCTTTCTTAAATAGAAAAATCTAGTATTGGTAAATGACAAAATTAACTTATTTCCTTTTAGTTTTGTCTATAAATTGATAATGGAATTTTATAAAGAATATTTACTCCTTATTGCTTCAATACAATGATTCTAATGGGTATTTGAAATCGAAATACACAAATTTTATGTTTATTATATTTTATATATTTTAACAAAAGTTATATTTGTTAGGCATTTTAATGGAGTGTTTTGTAAAACAAATGGACTCATAGATGTGTTCCTACCTCTGAGATAATGCCTTCCTGCCTTTGAGTATTTGCTGTTTCGTTTTTTATTTGAAACTCTTTTCCTTCAGGCAGCATCCACGCCTCTTGTTAGTTCTCTTCTCTAACATCCCTCCTTTTTCCCCTCCCTGTAGCATATTTTTAAAGATTTATTTTATTTATATGCATATATGTGTTTGCCATGTGTGTGGAGACCAGGAGAGAATGTTGGATCCCTTGGAACTGAAATTACAGGTGGTTGTGAGCTGCCTGATGTGGCTGCTGGGAACTAAAATTTCTATTCTTCTGGAAGAGCAGAGTGTGCTCTTAGCTGCTGAGCCATCTCTTTAACCCACTGTAGCGTATTTTTATCTTCATACTCAAGAGAGGTATTTGGAATCTTCATTCTGTTCTTCATTGAATGTTGCAATGAAAAATATTAAAATATGAAAGACAAATGGTGACTTAGTACCCTCAAATAAAGAGAAAACATATTCAGATGTATACCTATAGGAGAGAAGGCAGTCCGGAGAATTCCTGATTTATAGAAACATGGCAATCTAGTTGTTAAATTTTAGACACACACACACACAAAAAAAAAACCAGGGTAAAATTCTTTGAACAACTATTTGGTTGTAGACTTATTTAAGAATTTTATTGAGGCTGTGGGGGGAGGGGATGGAACACGTCTTTAATCCCAGCATTCGGGAGGCAAAGGCAGGTGGATCTCTATGAGTTCCAGGCCAGCCTGGTCTACAAAAGAGTTTCAGGACAGCTAGGGCTACACAGAGAAACCCTACCTCAAAAAATGAAACAAAAAAAAAATTTGATTGAAATTCTGGACTCTTTGTAATCACACCTATATAATATATATGTATAAATATACATATATATGCATACTTTGAACTTTTGTGGAGGAAGGATATTTTCAGTCCCCACATATGGATAGATCTAGTTATCTTGGAATACCTTCTGCTGTAGCTACCTATAAACATTGAATTTCAGTAGCAATTTAAGATGAGTGAACCCATCAGAAAGGAGAATAAGAGAGTAAGTCTATATTTTGTAATGGCTAACAAGCTAAAGACTTTTTAGAGCTGTCCTGGAGATGGTGTTCAGACTCAGAAATAGCTTCAGTGGCTATGAAGTCAGATTTAAATGCCTACGTGAGAAGACATTCAGTCTTGGCTTTATACAATGTCTCAAACTAAAATGTCTCCATAGTAAAAAGTAGAGAAAACTTTTATAACCAAGTCAGGTGAAGCATAAAGAGAAATATGTTTTTGCCTGGAGATTTGTGTGATTTCTGAAGTGCATTCATTGCACACTGATTTAGAATCTAAAATCACCCAGTCTAATTTTTTAAAGTTGATAAATTCCTTTTTAATTGATTGTAGGTTACCTGGGGAACTGTTTTAGAGGAACACTTCTACTACCCAGGCCAGCCGAAGCTTCCAAGGGGACAGAGAAGTGGTTAGAACATAACAAAGGAACCATTAAGAATATGAGCCTGGGGGCTGGAAAGATGGCTCAGAGGTTAAGAGCACAGACTGCTCTTGCGGAGGACCCAGGTGCAATTCTCAGGTTCAGCACCCACATGGAGATAGACAACCATTTTTAACATCAGTTCCAAGGAATCTGTTGTCTTCTAGGCTGCTTGGGCACTACAGGCATGTGATTCACAGGCATACATATCTACAGTCTCACATATACATGAAAATATTTGAGCTTGGTGCTGGAAAGATGGTTGTCAGTAAAGAATGAAGACCTGTGTGTACAAGTGTGTCTACACACACACACACACACACACACACACACACACACCCCACATATATATAGAGAGAGGTGGGGGTTACAATCTTGTAATTCTAGTTCTGGGGAGACAGAGACAGGTAGATGCCTGGGACTCACTGACCAGTCAGCCTAGCCTACTTCACAAATCCCAGGTAACAGTGAGAGACCCTGCCACAGTAATTAAGGTGGATAGCTGCTGAGGAGTGACAACCAAGGATGATATTTCTCCTCCACATGCACTCATGCAAAATGCTTTGTGTCTGCTAATGTGTAGGAGTACATATGCGCGCGCACACACACACACACACACAGAGAGAGAGAGAGAGAGAGAGAGAGAGAGAGAGAGAGAGGAAAAAGGTCTATAAAACTTACAAATAGGATTAGCATCCTAAGAATTTGAGATAATTGAAAATTAGGAAGAAACTAAATATATGTATTTTAATTTATTAATGAAGACTTGCATTTCAACTGAATATAGTGATAAGAACTGAATTTAAGTTTTAGGTGAAACAGTAAAGCTATACAAGATATATGTATTAGTGGACGTTGGTGGTATAGTGGTGAGCATAGCTGCCTTCCAAAATATATGTATTGCAAGATATTGGACCTCAGGTAATGAGCAATGGTCTGTGAGAAGCAGAAACCTAGAGGAGAACAGGGGGAGCTGCAGCAATATATTACTCAAATACACAGTTTTCAACAAAACTCAAAATCAAGAAATTGCAATTCATTCAAAAGTAAAACAAAGTTGAGTGTGGTGGCACATGCCTGTGATCCTTGTGTTCATGAGGCTTAAGCAGGAAGACTATAGTTCAAGGCCAGGCTGGGTTTCATAGCAAATATCAAACCAGCCTGAGCTGCCTCAAAGTGAATGAATTAATTACCAAGTGGATGAAAACAAAAGAAAGGAAAATCATTAGAAACTTTATTCCAGAATTGAGATTGACAAAGACCACAAAACTATTACTAATATTTTTAATAACTTAAAAATATATATCTATATATCTTTATAGCTTAAAGATATATTATGGATATATTATGATCATTATTTTTTTAACAATTTATTTTTATGTACATTGGTTTATGTTTGTGTGTATATCTGTGTGAAGGCGTCAGATCTCCTCAAGCTATAATTAAAGTCAGTTGTGAGTGGCCATGTGGGTACTGGGAATGAATCTGGATCCTCTGAAAGAGCAGTCAGTGCTCTTAACTACTGAGCATCTCACTAGCTTCTATATTTCTTTGATCAAACTGAAAATATTGATGATGGCATAGAATTTTTTTAAAAGAACAAATAGAAGTTGAACTAATATGAGTAACCAAAATGAAAAATTCATCAGAGTTCCTCAAACATAGAATTCAACTGGCAGAGGAAAATATCAGCAAACTTGAAACTAGACTGATGATATTACATGATCAGAAGACCAGAAAGGGGTTAAAACAGAAGGAAGAAGAAATTAATCTGAACCACTTGAGAGTCTAGATTTATCATTAAGCACAGCAATGTATATGAAATTGTAGTAAAGAAAGAAGGTAGGAACATGGAAATATTGAGCAAAAAGGTCAGTGAGACTTCTCAGTGGGTAAAAGCTGCACTTCCCTGCCCTGTGCCCCACAAGCCTGACTTCAGGTTCTCGAACCCTGACCCAATGGTAGAGGGAGAGAACTGACTACTGGAAGTTTTCTTCTGACTGCC